CACTTGTATTGCACATGAAAGACCCAGGTTCAATTATTGGCATCTCATTTGGTCCCTCCAGCACTGCCAGGAGTGTTTCCTGAGTGCAGAGCCAGGACTAACCCCTGAGTATTGCCAGGTGTGGCCAAAAACAAAAGAAAAATCCCCTTAAATCTCACTAAGATTTAGCTCTTTCCTCAAACTGGAAAAAGTTCCATACTTCAAGCCTCAGTAGAAACTTGGGTCTCCTTACTATGAATCAACCTGCCAAGCTATTCCTGGAAAGTCACTGGTTCTGGGCCAGGAGCTGCTTTCCAGGGACCATAAAGGTGAATGAGGCTTCCCCAAACTTCCTTCAGAGGTAACAGGACTTGAAAAGGGTGGCTTTTATTGAGGTCCATGGAGAAAGATATACAGATTAGAATGGAAAGTGTGGGTTTGGGGTCCTGTGCAATATTTGAACAATTCACCTATGGTTGCAATTCCCTACTTCTACATTGTGAAACAGGGACTAACCAAAGACCCTGAGTGAGAGGATTAGGACAGAGGCAGACTCCCAGAGTGTCCCATTAACGCCATATCACTCTCCACTGGTCCTGTACCCAGGGCCTCCTAGAGGCCTTGTGTTCTCCAACTATATGGATGGAGCTTAAGACATGGGAACATCCTTCTAAAAGGCCAAGGTTTCTAGTGGGGATGGCTTCAACCCCTGGAGGCAGCTGAGAACTCTGTGCGATGTTGCTAACAACCATGCTGATTGGGATAAAACTGCTTGCTGATAGGCAGAAGCCAAGCATGCTGGCCATACAACAATATGCAAGGCATTCACAAGTGAATATTCCTATGACACTGAATAACATTCTTGATACTCACACTGAAAAAAAAATAGATACAATCCATTGTGACTTATTTGACACATAAAAATAGGTATCATTTCTACTCAATTCTGATAACACAGTGGTAGGGCGTTCGCCTTACAAGCAGCCAACGTGGCCGACCCGAGTTCGATTCCTCCGCCCCTCTCGGAGAGCCCGGCAAGCTACTGAGAGTATTTGATATGCCAAACACAGTAACAACAAAGTCTCCAATGGAGACGTTACTGGGCCCGCTCGAGCAAATTCTGATAATAGATGTCTAAATAAAGTGTGATAATCAGAAAGAGCATACATTTTTATTTGAGTTCTTGCAACCAAATCCTGAGGTTGAAGAAAGCTCATTACTATAAGTGAAGCCATTCCTGGATTTTAAGGCACACATGTTTGACAGTCTATATCTGTCCTCCTCACATGCACCCTGTGTCTTCTCTTGATCCATTTACATTTGAATCTATCTCTCTACCTATTGATCACAAAGTCTTTCTTTCTTTCTTTCTTTCTTTCTCTCTCTCTCTTTCTTTCTCTCTCTTTCTTTCTTTCTTTCTTTCTTTCTTTCTTTCTTTCTTTCTTTCCTTTATTGAATCATTATAAGATAGTTAGAAGCTTTCATGTTTGGGTTACAATCACACAATGATCAAACACCCATCCTTCCACCAGTGCACATTCCCTACCACCAATGTCCCTGGTATACCCCCCTTCCCACCCTCCCCCTGCCTCCATGGCAGACATGATTCCCAATAATCTCTCTCTACTTTTGGGCATTATGGTTTGCAATACAGACATTGAAAGGTTATCATGTTTGGTCCTTTATCTACTTTCTGCACACATCTTCCATCCCGACCAGTTCCTCAGGCCATCATTTTCTTAGTGATACTTTCTCTGTTCCAGCTGTCTTCTCCCCTTTGCTTATGAGGCAGATTTCCAGCTATGGAGCAATCTACCTATCTCATGTATCCTTAGGTGTCAGCCTCATGTTATGTTGTTTTATACTCCACAAATGAGTGCAGTCCTTCTATGTCTGTCCCTCTCTTTCTGACTCATTTCACTTAGCATGATACTCCCCATGTCTATCCAAGTGCCCTAGAACAGATGACTGCTTAAAGAAACTTTGGTACATCTACACAATGGAATACTATGCAAGTGTCAGGAGATAGGAAGTCATGAACTTTGTTACAAAGTGTTTCAAATAGTTAAAGGAATGCTGTCTTCTTTGAAATTCAACCTCACTCGAAAGAAGAAGCACAATACCAAGTTTTGTTTGTGTTGTAAATTACTTGCCACTGACTTTTCCAATCTCACACAGGCTGCCCTCATACGGTATCTACATGTATAGGCTATAGAGCAGAAAGTTTGGGTGGCAGATCTTATCGATGAACTTCGATGTCAAGATAGGAATGATATTTCAAAATATTTACTGTGAACAAGGGGTGGCAAGAAGAGAACCTCTGAGAACTCTGTAGCCTTGTTCCCGAAACACTGCAATGGGATTAACATGGACTTCATCCAAAGAGCAGTATCTTAGGCCTATCCTGACAACCCTGAGTCAGTCTACATCTGAGCAGATTCCGAGATGAACTAACAGCCCCTAAAGACTTGGGCAGGACTCTGCTTGGGCGATGAGTGTGGACAACGTCAGACCCACCTGCCATAGCTCTCTGTCCTGACTCCTGTAGTGTAGAGAGAGTAACCTGAGTTCAAGGCCACAGAAGGCAGGACCCACCCTGCCAGGGCTTCAGATTGACAGCCTGCCAATGACCAAACACCCAAGGAGCGGTAGAAGCTCAATACTGTTGTTTGACAAGGAACCCAGCAACAGTCACTGTGGAAGGCTGAAGGAAAATTCCTTGGCAAGGTCATTGCTCAGCTGCCTGAAGTTTGCTTGAACAGAAACATGTGAGGCTGGGGCTGGAGCATGAGCTTTGTCCCTCCCCGTGCAGGCCTTTCCCAAGCTCCTCAGCTATGTTTCCGTCAATTGGCAAAGATGCCAGCTGTGATCCTGCACTGTGCTCAGGATTACATGAGAACATGACGGAAGGATCACGGGGTCTTTCTAGAGCAGGCAAAGCCCGGACAGCTAGGCAGGGACACTGTGTGTTGGTACACCTGAGGCTTCCTGGGGCCCACTTCAGGAGAGCATAGGCAGCTGAAATCTGGGTGGTCAGGAGCTCTGTGAGAGACTCGAGCATATGTAGAATCTGCCCTTATTGACTAGAGCAGAAGGAAGCCTGCTGGCCTACCCACTCTGCTTTGTTGGCCTGAACTTAGGTAGGGTGAAGTGGGCATGAACCTCAGAACAGGCTTCTCTCTCAGTCCCTGAGGCCGGGCAGAGTACATTTAGAGAAAAGTGGGTTTGGAAATTGCCTCTGTGACTTCCATACTCCCAACAGCTGGAAGCAACGTAGCTGGGAAGCAACCCATTTGTCCAGCATTTGTTGAGCAGCTGTCATGAGGCAAATTCCAAGGAGAATCAATCAGATGCCTGGCCCCTGCCTGAGACACTGTCCTCCTGGAGGAACACAGTTGCATTTGCACATTTGCACATGTGCAAAAAAAAAAAAAAACAACCAAAAAACATGTGTTATCAATCCATAAAAGGAGCCAAAGGTTTATTGGGTACACACTGCAGAAGAAGATGCCATGGGGAAAGGCTTTCAAAACTGGTTCTGTCCCCTTCCCCTACTGTCTCTGGGGTGGGTATTCTGAGTTCCCAGTTGACTACTTTTTACTCTACTTGGAATCCTGGTGGCTGACTTCCATGGACTGCACTATGGCTTCCGGTGGGTGAGCCCAAAGGGAGGCAGCCCAGGACCTAGGTTGGGGGAAAGGCCAAGCAACTTACATTCTTGTCATCCTTCCTGCCACCTCCTATTTCACCTTGTCTGAGTCCCTCAGACAGTGACCTCTCCCACAATCCCAGGAAACTCCCCTCTCTGTTCCACAACCCCAGGTCTAGAAGAGAACCAGCTTCTTGAAGGCACTCATTTCTGGGCATGTTACCACCATTTCCTCTCAATTCCCTTAGCCCTGCCTGCACTCTGAGGAGTGTTCCATCTGGAACCACTATACTCTCTTAGTTTGCTTGTCCTCTTTTAAGCTCTGTTTATGAAATCTAAAGTTTTCTAGCAATGACCCTGGGCTAAGAGTGATAATCAGGCGATTATCACCATAAATCATTGCAAATACACTAGGAGCCAGAGTGACTTAAGGACTGGGGATGGCGTGGGGGTGGAGGCTGTGTTTATATTGTTACTTTTATCACAAACCTCACAATGATTCCCAAAAGACTCAGATATTCTTTTTTTCCCCTGTTATTTTGAGGAGAACAGCAAGGTAGGTCAGATAAGTGACAAGCTGCCAAGTGGAGAATCCCCACCTGCACCAGAGTCAGGATTATCACTGAGCCCAGCTACCACCTAAGTCCACTCTGGAAGCCATGGGGTCCTCATCTGCCTGAGAAACTCTGCAGGGGACCCAGAGTGAGGGTCTCAGGGCATAAACCCAGGAGCGGATGACTTGTGAAACAGAGGAGGTGAGCAGGAGTAAGAGAGAAAGTGGGCAGCATTCCGAGGGCAACAAATCAGAACTGTAATCAGGGAAAGACAATAGCAGAGGGAGAAGGACCTGGAGGCAGAGTCCAGGACAAGGACATGACAAGAAAGTAGTGAGGGAGCAAATGTGGAAGAAGACAATGAGAGACGCTACTTTCTAAGCCCTGCCTGCCTGCCAGGCACAGGCCTAGAGATTAAAGCACTCACAGTCATATCCCATCCAAGAAGCTATATCCTCGTTGATTGTCCATCTAAGAAAGCAGGGGCCACTTTACTTCATGGATGAGGAGGCTAAAGATCAGAGTGGCTGAGGACATACGCTAAAAACTCCTAGAACAGCAGGGTACGAATTCACAATCTCTTGTGGGAAAATCAAAGACGTAAGGAGGCAAGGAAGGAAGAAATTTGAGGAAAGGGGGATGGAAAAGCTCCCAAGTGGTGATTATCAAGAGTCCCAGGGAGAAGGATCTTCTCATTCACTTTGCTCACCCATAATGGTAAACAACAATAAGCCAAGGTGTTATTTTGCCTGGTGTCTTCTTCCGGTGTGTAGTCTGGCTCTGCTGCATCTCAGACAGGACCATTACTGTTCCCTTACCTCTAGATTTCCTCTTGTTAAACACGGACTGCCAGATGATGGCTAGCGTGAAGAGCAGGACGCTGAGGATGCCCACACAGCACACGAGCACAGCGTACATGTAGAGATCTGCAGGACAAGAGCAGAGGGTCTGCATGAGAAGGAACACACATGGCAGCACACAATTCACACAGGACACAAGGTCCACACAAAAGGAGCCATGAGCACAAATTTAAAAAAAAAAAAAAAAGGAATGAGAAAGCTCTTAACAAAAGAGCCAAGAGAAAAATCTATGGGATCAAGTATCTGGCAGAGAGTTTTCAGACTACATATCAAGAGGTTGGAGAGACAGTACAGAGATTAAGGTATTTGAATATAGCCAACTAGCTCAAATTCTCAGCACCACATATGGTCTCCTTGATGAAAGTAAAAATAAGTCTCTGTAAATATACTATGAAAATTTTGAAAGAACAAGTTACATATTGGGAGAAAAGTTCATGTCTTACTCACAGATCACAGATCACAGATCATCCTGTTATTCGTCGATTGCCTCGAGCAGGCCCCAGTAACGTCTCCTTCATCCTAGCCCTGAGATTATATTCAAGGCTCTTTAGGAGAATGAGACCCATCATTGTTACTGGTATTTGGCATATTTGGGTACGCCACGGGGAGTTTGCCAGACTCTGCCATGTGGGCAGGCTACATTCGGTAGCCTGCGAGTTTGTCAAAGTAGGAATGAGATGTCATAATAAGATGTCATAATAAGGTTCCAGGAGCTGGTTTTTATAGTCTCTGAGTCTTGGCCGCTGATGGGATTACACGGCGCCAGGGGGCCAGGTGGTGGGTGTGACCCCCGTCTACTGGAATTTGGAGGATCTGGGTGGAGGATGCTCGACTCCAATCCGAGTAGGCTTGGAGATCTCGGCCCCGGAACCCACGTGGCTTTGTCCCTCTGCCGGTACCTTCAGGTGTGCGGAGAGTGGTCTCAGCATGGTGGTGGCTGGTCCTGGAGGTCTTCAGCTGCCGGAGCCCTGGTCGGGGCGGGGAGGAAGGCTCAACCCGCTCCCCTCCAAGGGACCCCGGCGAGGAACAGCCAGGCGCAGGGAAAGGAGACTGCACTGGTCTCATCTAGGAGCTGGTTTTTATAGTCTCTGAGTCTTGGCCACTGATGGGATTACACGGCGCCAGGGGGCCAGTTGGTGGGTGTGACCCCCGCCTACTGGAATTTGGAGGATCTGGGTGGAGGATGCTCAACTCCAATCTGAGTAGGCTTGGAGTCGAGCTCCAATATTCCCCAAACTCACCAAAATAACGGTGAACACAAGAATCTGCACAAGCCTAATGTAAAAAACTACATTCCCTGAAGCTGCACTAGATGCCCAACATAAGTCACAGAAGAGTACCAAAGAGGAAGCTAGTACTCTTGTCTCACTAAAGATCCATTTTTAGGGTTTGGAGCAATAGTACAATAAGCAAGGCCCTTGCCTTGCATACAACTGACCTAAGTTCAACCCCCCCGAACGCCATATTGTTGGTGGGTGCCCAGAGTCCCACCAGAAGTGATCCCCAAAAGCAGAGCAAGGAGTAAGTCCTGAGCACCGCAAAAAAAATATTCATTTCTAGAATATAAAAAACTCTCAAAACTCAGCAGGAAATATGATAAACCCCTTTAGAAAATGAGCAAAAGTAGAAATATTTTATATGATAAATAGGCACCTAAGAATTTTGCCCTCCTTAACCATTAGAGCAATATAAATTTCAGTCCCAATATGGTGTCTGAAATCCCTATCAGAATGGCTAAAACAAAAAAGCAGTGCCAATAACGAATGGTGGCAAGGATATGGATAAACTGGGTCACTCAGGCATGGCTGTGAGCATACTAAATGAGACAGAGGTTGAAGGAAACAGTCTGGCAGTTTCCTAAAAGATAGGACTAACATTCAACTCACAATCAGACTCCAAGACAGCGGACCCAGCCAAGTGACAGTTTCTGTCTACACAAAAGCCTATCACAACTGGAAACTGCACAGGTGTCCTCGGGTAGGTAAGTGATTAAATAAACCGGGTTGCATCCACACCAGGGACTACTACTCAGACAGAAACGGCAACAATCTGGATAGATCACATCAGAATTTATGCTGAGTGAGAAAAAGAGAAAAGGAAAAGAATTTCCAAATTTATATACTGACACAATATTTTAGAAATGACAAAAGTATAGAAATGAACTAAATCAGTGGTGGCCAGAAGTAAAAGGGTTGTGAGAAGAAAAAAGGAAGTGGCTTTGGCTCTAAGCCCTTGTGGAGGTGGAAACATCCTGTGTCTCGAGTCTACCAGTGCTATATCCTGGTTGGGATACTATATTATAGCGTTGCAGGAAGTTTCCTCTGGGAAAACTTAGGTACAGGGTTCAAACAGGTACAGGAGATCTATTTTATTTCAAATAAACACTAATTTACATTCATCACTAATGTGAATTTATGCTCAAGCCATGTCCATGGCTGCTGTGACAGGGAGCTTAACACACATTGTATTTCTCAGGTGTGGACCCCTAGAAGGCCAAGATTAGGTTGTGGTAAATGGCATGTTGCCATGGTGAGCCTTCTCTTCCTGGTGGAAAGATGACTTCCCTTGGGCAGAAAGAGCACGCACTCCTCTAGGACCCCTTGTAAGGACAATCATGTCATTCACTGAACTGTCTGCTGGTGTCCTAACTGCACCCCCCCCTACCTGGCCCCGTGTGCCTAACACATTGGGGTTGGGATATCAACATAGGAAGCGGGTGGGGTGGAGGGTGAACTCCATTATTCAAACCAGAAAGTTATACTTTCACTTTTTAAACTCAAATGATGACCAGTCTGATTTGATTAAATACTTAAGTTGCTCAAAAGTGAAAGGGAAGCCAAAGCATTCTTTTAACCTTCTAGGTTGCAAAAAAAAGCTGCAGATGTTTGACTTCAGCAAAGGTTACTCTGCTGACTTAAATTTCTTCAGCCAACAGAAATGTATCACCAGTCATGTTTAGCGGCCTCATAAGTACAAAACATGACAAAGGGTAGGCAAAACCATGTGGTTCACATATCTGTAGGCCTGTGTGTCCAGAATTCCATGCCAAGTTGTCTTTAAAACAACACAGGAAATGTAACAAAACAAAACAAACAAACAAAAAAATCCAAGCAAACAAAAACCCTAGAGAAAGAGAAAACAAACAAAAGAAAAAAATTGAGAAAAAAATGTCTCATGGTGACAGAAGGTCAGGACTTTACATTTTTATCTTTCTTTTTTTTTCTTTTTTTATTAGTGAAACACCATGAGGTACAGTTATAGGCTTACAAATTTTGTGCTTGGGTTTCAGTTATACCATGATCAAGTGCCCATCCCTCCACCAGTGCCCGTCATCCATCACCACGGGTCTTTCTAAAGCTTTATTTGTTTGTTCATTTTTGCATTCTCTGTGATTTTTTAAAGTCCACTTGATGTGGAGCTCTGGGAAGCTCCTTCTGGCCCCACAACTTGGTGTGTTCCTAGTTCTGGGCACACAGATAAACCTTGGCTAACGTCCAGTGCACTTTCCACTGCAAATGTTCAGCAGTAGCTGGGAAACAGAGATGATCAAGCAATGCTTGGACCCCATCTCTTGCTCAGCCCAGCTATGCTCAGGCCCTCAAGGGATCCACTGTATGGTGCTTAGAAGGCTACTCAGGACCTTACACGTGCTTTCGACATCTCCCAGCATGAGTATACATAATTTTTTTAAATTAAGAACTACAATTTTATGTTTCTTATAATATTTAATCTCATTTTCTCCTTAATATGACTTCAAAAGAGTATTCTGAGCTACTTCCAAACATTTGATAGAAGTTGACCCTATTAATATGTGGCTTAACAATTTCCTACTGGGCACTCACAGTGTTTCTAAGTGTCCCTCATGATCAATGATTAATGAGGAGTATTCATAAGCTTATACCTTAATGCATCTCTCCTTCACGTTCTTAAGTTTCTGGGAGTAGAACTGCTGCATAGATGAGGAGCGGACCCCTGGAAAGCCCTGGGGAGCTGGAGAAGCAGTTAGTTAAGTGCTTAAACTGAAAGAGCAAGCATGTTGGGGATGGTGGAGGGGCTGGCCTCCATGCAGAGTGGGAGTGGGGGCAGGTGGGACCATGGTCAATTAGACAGAGGGAATCAACAATTCAGGTTCCTTTCATCTCACTGCCTCTCGACTTCCACAACTTCCCCCACTGTTCTGGAGAGGCCCAGAATAGTCTTGCCCCTGGGATCCCTGAGCTCCTCCCAAGGTCTTAAACTTAGTCAGCAATTCCACTAAGCTTGTCTGAGTGGGTTCCTGTTCCCGGTCACTCAGAAGTCAGGACTAAGATTTAAGACTGTAGAAAGCATGTATAACAAGGTTTCAGGTGAAGGAGCACTAGCAGGAATATTCAAGGGAACGCAGGACTGCGAACAGGGAAGAGTCTCAATCATAGGGCACAGGGCGCCCATCATAGAAACCGAGGAGGACTGGAGAGATTGTGCAAACATTGTACAAATGAACGAGATCAAGGGCTGCTGGAACCCCCTTTGGTGTTTTCCCCTGAGGAAGCTACTGGAAAAGTCCCCATGGAAAGTCCAGGAGGTCCAGTAGAGGAGAGCCAGATCACCAAGCCAAGAAGGTCATGGGAAGGGGGAGCGGGAAAGAGAGAAATTGAGAAAATTCTTTTTAAAAATTTTATTGAATCACCATGACATAGTTACAAGCTTTCATGTTTGGGTTACAATCACACAATGATCAAACACCCTTCCCTTCACCAGTGCACATTCCCCACCACCAATATCCCCGGTATACCCCCCCTTTCCCACCCTCCCCCTGCCTCCATGGCAGACATGGTTCCCCATAATCTCTCTCTACTTTTGGGCATGATTTAGGCATCATTATAACCCTGAGAGGTTATCATGTTTGGTTCTTTATCTACTTTCTGCACACATCTCCCATCCCAACCGGTTCCTCCAGTCATCTTTTTCCTTAGTGATCCCTTCTCTGAAATAGAGAAAATTCTTTACTAGCCGAAATCAAAACTACCTTTCCGTGTAGACTCCTGTGTCTTGAATGTGTAGGCCTGGCACATGACTGGGGTAGAGAACACTGTGAGGCAGGAGAGAGGCCAGGGCCTCCATTTACATGTTCAGGTAGAGGGCAGAGGTTTCTCAATCTCCCTTTCCCCCCAGGTCTGTGTCAGGAGATGGAGGACACAGGGCCAGTCCTAGATTTGCACACCACTGAGCAAATGATTCCAGGAGCAGGATTACAAGCTATTTCTAACACCAGAGGAAGAGGAACAAGGTGGTCACGTGGCAGGAAGTAGACCATGTGCACTGGCCTCTATCTCCGAGGGATTCCTGGGTTCAAAGATGAGAATGCACAGTCTCATTCTTGAAACAAAATGAAAGGTCTTGCTAAATCTTCTATGCCAGGCCAGAGCAACAGTACAGCAGGTAAAGTGCTTACTATTGCACATAGCTGACCCAGGTTCGATCCCTGGCTTAACACATTCCTCCAGTCCTGCCAAGAGTGACCCCTGAGTACAAAGCCAGCAGTCATCCTGGGCACCATATGTGTGACCCCAAAGCCGTAATAAAATAAAATAGAAATAAATTTGTGCCAACTGCGACACAAACCAAGAGCTCACTGCTCCATCAGATTCTTGCCCCTTCTGCAGAACCAACCAGGAACAAGGTCATGGCGAGAATCTCCCACAAGTCTCCCCAAAGCATACAGGCCACATCTGTGTCCCATTTCACCCCCAGCAGGAGGTGGGGGGAGAGATGGGGGGGCATCAAGAGGGCCACGTGATGGTTACAGATCACAGTCTTCCCAACATGGCACAAAGGGGGCTCTCCACAGGCAGTTGGGGTGACAGGATCATAAAACATCTGGCGAGTCCGGAAAGCTCAGCTACTCAGCCACGCACACAGGCTCTCTGGGCCATGGACAGCAGCCAGCAGGCACTGGCCACCCATGGATGTGTCTCTGCAGGCACAGAACTGTGGCTGCTCTCTGCAGTGTTCTTGAAGTTACAAGAACCCTGAAAAGGGTCACCTTGTCGGAAGAGTAAACACTCATAAAGGGAACCTGTGTTTTCCTGGACAGGGCAGAAATCAGTAACCCAAAGCTCTGACTTTGTCCTTTATTCCAAGCATTTCTGTAGCTGCAGGAATACAATAACCCTGCAGAATTCACTCAAAATACTAGAACCACTTAGCCTGCTTTTCTCTGCCTAGGATTCCAGGCTGCTTTTGCATCAGGCAGGACAACAAAGTTGTGTCCTGCCAGACAGTGACAGGGTTAGCAGTTCAGGTGTTCTGAGGGCTGTTCTTGGGAAGCAATGGCCTGATGTTCCTTTATTGTCTGACTTTACCTTTCATGCAAAAGCCTCCCTCGATTCTAAACGTTAGCAGAAATTTTTTAAAACTCAGACCTAGCTAGAACTCCTTGTCTGGAGACAGAAGCCTTTGGGTCCAAATTTAACAAAACATCTGCCTGTAACCAAATCTAGGGTGAGCTTTTCATTACCATCTACACTTGCACAGTCACAATAATTCTAAAAGTATCAGTCTATACCCTGAGTGTATTCGAGACTTGTCTCTTCCAAAGGCACCAGTGTGAATTTGAGAATCAATTGTCAGCCACTATGCAGAAAATGTCCCTCCAGTGCTCCCAGCCCAGGCCTCCCCGAAGCAGATGGTGAGGCCAGCAGGCTGCAGTGATATTCACACAGCAGGGATGCTGGGGTAGGGGGAACAATGTCCAAGTGCCAGCTCCCATTCTCCCAGTGAGTCTGTCCAGGCCCGACTGAGTGGCCCCAACAAAAGGCAGAAGGTACCTGTTGCCAGGCAACCCTGATGTTGGCTGGGGGATTTAGTACTGCTTTGAAATCCCATGACCCCAACATTCCTCAACACAATAAAGGATTCTACCTCTCCCTGGACCCCAGGATCAGGAAAGTCAATGCCATCCTTGATGTTGCCAGGCTAAATGCAAATGTCTAGGAGATATGAGCTCTGTCGCAAAATCTTGCACTAACAAATATTTGTGCTTTTATAATCCAATATGGAATACCATCTTGCTCAGTAAGAGCTATCTGGGGAGTAATCCTAAGGGATTTTCACTTGCTTCAGCATCTCATGCAGAGGCCTGACAATGCCATTTGTGTGAGGGCAGGTGGGCATAGGGCCAGGGGGAGGCCAGGGATTGAATATTCATCTGCAAGCACTACTGCAGTCAAGAAACTAACAGGAAAATGCCTGAGATCAGGCACCAGGGAGTTTCAACCACCTCTGACCTCACCAATGCTGCAGCTAGCTTAAAAAAAGCAAGACACCAGATGCTGCTGCAGCCACCACTAATGCCAATAGGAAAAAAACACTCTGGAAACAGCTACTCTGAGGCATTATACCAGTGAGGATTCTAGTTTTGCCTTTCAGAAAGGGCCTGATTCTTAGGGTTGAGGAGAGGGAATATGTCAAATTCTGTTTTGAGGGTTCCATGGAGAGTAACCCTAAGATTCCATAGCTATGTGTAGTAATAATTAAAAGTACCGTTTATAAAATTAAAATTAAATTCTTGAGCAAAACAAAACAAACAACCCAAATTACACAGATTGGCCCTTTCACTTTTATTATAAAATCCATGGGCTGGAGCGATAGCACAGTGGGTAGGGCGTTTGCTTTGTACGCAGCTGGTTGGCTGACCCAAGTTTGATTCTTCTAACCCTCTCAGAGAGCCCAGCAAGCTACTGAGAGTATCTTGTCTGCATGGCAAAGCCTGCCATGCTACCTGTGACATATTCGATATGCCAAATACAGCAACAACAAGTCTCAAAATGGGACGTTATTGGGCCCGCTCAAGCAAACTGATGAACAATGGGAGGACAGTGCTACAATGCTACAGTGCTATATAAAATCTATGGACTGATAACATCATGTATTCCCAACTTACTCTGGAATTAATTTGAGCGTAAGAAAATAAGTTGATGATAGGGCAAAACTGAGACATTAGGTTCCTTTCGTCTTTCTCTATTCCTCTCCTATTATCTAAAATCAAGAGAGATGCATTTATAATGAGAAATATTCGAGAGTTACCTTCAAAAAATGCCCATGTATTTTTCTTTTTCTCAAAGGATGAATCTTCCGGAACTTGGAGAGAAGTCACTGTAAGACAAAAAAGCAATGGCACAAGATGAAATAGAGTTGCTAATGGGCCTGACCCATACTGCAATCCAAACTGCTGCCAGATAGTATATACATCTTTTTAATTCATAGTCTTCATATTTACAAAACTACATTGAATTGCCATAACTCAAATGCCAGGGAGAGGTACAGTGACTTAGACACAGCAATAAAGACACCTGAGGCACCAGGGAGAGCAATGAAGTTGTCTCTGTTTAAGTCAATAAACAAATGGCAAAGCTGAGACTCCATTCAACTGAAGTGCCAAATGCCTCCAGATGCTTACAAACGAGAGAGTTCTTTAGGTGGGATTCCAAGAATTAAATTCGAGTCAGCTTACTCTTTCATTGTACATCTTTGTGACACACAGGGTACTTGCTCTGGTTGTCCTAAGCAGCAGAACACGTGGTCCTCTGCTGAAGAACAATCAGTGTTCTGAGCTTCACACTCCATGCACGGTGGTCACATGTGGTGATAGGCACTGGATTTGGATTTTATTTTGTCTGCTTTTATGGTCAATCACCAATTCTACTATACCTTCTTTTGGCCTCTAGGTATCTGTATTACAAACCATAATGCCCAAAAGGTGGGGAACGGGGGTGGGGGGGTGGGGACACAGAAGGGATATGAGGAATACTGGTTGGTGGCGGGAAATGTACACTGGTGGAGAGATGAGTGTTAGAACACTGTATGACTGAAACTCAATCACGAAAGCTTTGTAACACAGGTGATTCAATAAAAACAAAACAAACAAACAAAAAACCCAAATAAACAAAAGGTAGGGCTACTGAATTGAATCAGACTGCACAAAACTCTTAGCATACTAAAGAACTGGTAAACAAGGAGAAGTCCCAAGACATTGGGGGTAAGCTCATCAACAGCAAAATTTCCCAGAGAATGACACCACTGTCTAACAGAACTTTTAGAGATGAAGATAATGTCTTATGTTGAGAGTACATACAGTAGTCATTGTTCACAGATAGAAATATGAGCATAAGGCTATTCCTCAGGGGACGGTAGGACTGAATTTGTAATTTTATTTCATTTTAATTAACTTAAATGTCAATAGTCACATATGATTAGTGGCTACCTCACTGAATGTCTCTAGAGAAGACAAACTAGGATCTGAATAAAAAGATAAAGATGGGGCCAAAGAGGTAGTATGGAGGTTAAGGTGCTTGCCTTGCACGTGACTAACTCAGTTTGATTCCCTGCACTATATGTGGTCCCCCAAGTACTGCCAAGGGTAATCCTTGAGCACTGAAACAGGAGTAAGCCCTAAGAACTGACAGGTGTGGCCCAACAAACAAGCATTGAATATGAGAGATATGAATTGTCCTCCCATTGTTCATCTATTCTGCTCGAGCGGGCCCAGTAACATCTCCAATTTTTGAGACTTCTTGTTACTGTGTTTGGCATATCGAATACGTCGCGGGTAGTTTGCCAGGCTTTGCCGTGTGGGTGAGATACTCTCGGTAGCTTGCCAGGCTCTCTGAGAGGGGCAGAGGAATCGATCCCGGCTCAGCCGGGCTCGCTGCATGAAAGGTAAACGCCCTACCACTGTGCTATCGCTCCAGCCCGCAGAGATATGAATATGTCTAAAATAGTCTGAGACATTAATTGCACCTCATAAAAACTTTTGTATTTTTGTTATGGATTTCAGGTCTGCATTTTTCCATTGTTTATTTCTATAGAAGTTGCATTGATCTTTCCTATCTTGCTTTGGATCACTAATTTGACATTCCTCAGTGTCTAAGCTGCTTTCAATCATCTATAACATTTTTAATTTAATTTACCGTATTTTTAAATTCTGGGCTGGAGCGATAGCACAGCGGTAGGGCGTTTGCCTTGCATGCAGCCAACATGGCTGACCCAAGTTCGATTCCTCCGCCCCTCTCAGAGAGCCCGGCAAGCTACTGAGAATATCTCGCCTGCTCGGCAGAGCCTGGCAAGCTACCCGTGATGTATTCGATATGCCAAACACAGTAACAACAAAGTCTCCAATGGAGATGTTATTGGGCCCACTCAAGCAAATCGATGAAAAATGGGAGGACAGTACAGTACTTTTATTTTTAAGTTCTAGATTTTTCATTTTTATGTGTCTCAGTTCTCTAATGTTATTCTGGAAGTCTATTTAACCTCTTTGCCTTGTTAATCAAATTTTTTAAACCTACACGCTTTATAACTTTCATATATGCTTCAACCTATAGGTTTTTGTCATTAATTTTGTTTTTGATTATGTCTCTTGATATGCATGATCATTCTTAAAATTGAGTTCCTGACAGACATGGAAAATGATAGTGGCACTAGACAGGATTTACTTTCTTGATTGGATGCCAGAGTAGGAGAATGGGCACCTAAGTCCATGGGGATCTTTATTGAAGTTTAGAGGCTGTTTTTATTGCCTTAGGGTATGTTGTGTCTCTTATTTGCCCCTACTTCAAGGATTCCCCAATGGAAACCTTATATAATTTACCACGGCCCTTCCAATTTTGATCTCATTGTCAAAATTGTTAAAAGCTTTACTTCTTCCTAAGCAGCTAAATTACCACTTTATGTACACTTTTCTCAACTACAACTCCTTAAACAGGGATGAATTTCTTAAAGGTGACAATTTCCCTCTGCTTCTCTGTATTAGACATAGTCCTTCAGAGAATAATTGTGATTGCTAAGTGCAATCTGTATGTCATACACTGTATATGTAAAATGCTGCAACAATATATACATCATTGCTGAAATGCAGTTTTTTTAATTGTTCTTAGAAGTAGTCTTTAGCGCCCTGAAAGATAGCCTGCTGTTACTAAGGACAAATTTCTCTCCAATCAGAACCTAAATTCCTTAAGACCAAGAGATGAATCTTCACTCTCTGTGTCTCTATCCTCTGGCACATTGGCCAGCAGCTGGTAGGGGCCTATGAAATGAAGGAATCATTTCTTCTTTATGACTGCCCCACAAGTAAGCAATCTGAACTTCTAGAAATGAACTTTCAGTGAATATGTGATATCACCTGTGATATTATATATGTTAGACAATTTTGTCAACCATCCTTCTTACATTTTCCCCACCCAACATCCTAAACTGCTGATTCCCAGAGGAAAAATCAAGAATTTAAATTAAGGAACAGCATTTAGGTGTGTTAACAAAGCCAGTGGCCACACTGCTTGCTCAGAGCCATCCTGTGAACCTGGCCGTGGTCCTCAATGTGTCTCCTATGGTCTGGGGGCTGATATTGGTGGTTGATGATGCAACAGGATAGCTAACAGCAGAATGGTGTGACAGATTCCAAGGTTCTGGCAGAGATCATGTAGGAAGAGCTAAAATTAGTAACAATTTTGTTGATCATTATATGCCAAACCAGCTGCTGCTCTTTTCCATAAAATAGTTGTCTGGGGGAAATAAGGACACTCAGAAACTTCTTGCATAGAGCCCTGTGAGCTCCCAATCCTGACATACCTCCTGTCAGTATAAATGATTTAGGGAGACCTTGTTACTTGCTTTCTCAAACAAGACAAAGGAGGAAACCAGACACAAACAAATAGTTCCCTATTTGTGAAAAGAAAAAAACAATGAATGATGAATGAAAATTGAGGACCACAGAGACTATACCATAGGCAAGATGCTTACCCTGTACACAGCTGACCCAAGTTCATATGCAGCACTGCATATGGTCCCTGAGCCCCACCAAGAATGATCTCTTGAGCACAGAGCTGGAAATAAACCTTACACACAGTCAGGGACCCAAAAAAGCAATGAATGACTAGAGATGGACTGCCTTTGCTAGAACAGCAATGGCTCATGCAAACAGGGTATTTAGCCACAATGACAGGAAATCCTTCCTTGTTAGACAATTTAAGAGTCACACTCTGAAGCATAGGAGAAAACTGAGCAGCAAATAATGGGCAAAAATGTTTTTTCTTAGGGAGCTGATATACTCAGGGATGATGTCAGCTTCCCTTCCCTTCAGAGGTGAAAAGGGGATCACTTGATCACTTGATATCCCGTGACTCATTGATTTGCTCAAGTGGGCACCAGTAACGTCTCCATTCATCCCTGTCGCGTGCGAGTGTAGCCCAATGGCGTATGTTTGCACCAGGAACACAAAGAGCCTCAACCCGATCGTTCAGAGTCTTGACAAAGAAGTCTGAACATCTCGTAGGTGGGCGGCCACATGATCTTTTTACGTCCAGTGGAATCCAGTCTGTAATGGCTCTAGTCCAGCAGTCGTCTCCAAATCACATTATGTGTCCAGTCCATCTGATTTTCTACAAACGAGACAGCATCCTTGATTCTTGACCGATGGAGGTCGGAACTCCAGATTCTTTCTCTCAGTTGAGTGAAACATGATACTCCAAGCATAGCTCTTTTGATTCCCCTTTGGGAGACCCAAATAGTGTTCTCACCCTGTTTTCGTAGGGCCCAGGTCTCTGAGGCATATGTTAATGCAGGAAGAATGTGGAATCGAAGAGATGTGCCCGGAGCCGGAGGTTCTTCGTCCTCTTAGCTATTTCTTTGATGCTCTTGAAGGCGTTCCAAGCCGCTCTCTTCCTCCTGTGCAACTCAGGTGCCAGGTCATTCGTCATCTTGACTTCTCGACCTAGGCACACATAACTGTTGCATTCAGAAATGTTAATTCCATTGAGAGCAAATGGAACGTCAGGAATGAGACCGTTTCTCATAAACATTATCTTCATGAGATTCAGCTGTAGTCTGACCTTTCCACACTCACAGTTGAAGTCGGCCAGCATTTGTGCCGCTTGGCTAATGTTTGGTGTTATTAGAATGATGTCATCAGTGAAGTGGAGGTGGTGCAGTTGTCGACCATCTATTTTCACTCCCATTCCTTCCCATTCCAGTCATTGCATGATGTTCTCCAGGATGGCACTGAAGAGTTTCTGTGAAATGGTGTCAATCTGCTGAAACCCTCTCTTGACATGGATGATCACTTCCTTGTAGAATAGTGAGATCCTGGTAGTGAATCCATA